CAATGCAGGCTCAAATATTCCCCATCGCAGGCATAGGCAGTATGATTTTGCAGAAGCTTGGTTAGGTAACCTAGAAAATATTCATCTCTGTTACAACTAGTACAGGAAATTACAAACTTGTTAGATAATAAGAAATCCACAATCAGTCTCTGGAAAGGGCATTGAGTCAAGGTTATACATATGGCCCGCTGCCACACCACATGATTCTGTGAATGGGTCAACCTTTACCTGCTAGTAATGCTCAGTTCTGGAAAACAAGGTGAGTCAGAGTCCTACCAGCACTCCAGCAGTGGCAGTATGCTGGAGATGTCATTTCACAGACAATAAATGGGCTCAGGCCCTCGCCAGTCATGGTTGCTAACAATCCCAGGGCGTGTTTGCAGAAGTCGGAAGGGTTATTACTTGGTTTTGCAGGCTAGACTCCTGCATTCCAGCAGGTTAAGGTATTCCTTACACCTCAGCTTAAACTGATGCTTTGCACTTCTGGGCTTCTAGGCAGTTGTGTTTCACACAAATGAAATAAAAGTGATTGTATCACTGAATCAGATGCTAGGATAACAGCGCAAAGGTGGTCCACAAGTGTTGGACACTGCAGGTGCTGGACAGACACCCAGAAGGAAGATATATAGAATTCTGTATTTATGAGAGAGTTTGTCGGTGTTACCAGGAGAGGGAGAGGTAGGATCTGTATGCAGCTGTCCATCTCTACCATCCCTCTGCATCTTCTAATATGTAAGTCCATGAGCAGCAGAGCTAATAACAGCTGGTTTTCTTATTTCAATTTCATCATGTATTGCCTCTTTAGCCAAGACTTCTGTTATCACCACAACTATTTCTAAATTTAACCTCCTACTGCCCTTCTCTGTGTTCTGCAGAATATGTTAATGGAAACACGTAGGCTGCTACTTTTGACCATCACAAATTAGTGATCATGATGGGAAACTCTTAGGGATAATTTAATTCAAAGACTTTCCTCACCTATACTTAGGTGGCTTTGATATCTCTACCAGTCCATCACACTTGATTGAAATCTATCTTTAATCAGAAAATGTTTGTGGGTGAAGGGGAAGAAGAGGCATGAGGGACAGGGGAGAAAAAAAATACAAACCATGAGCCTACAAATGAAGCACTAACCTTCCCCATCCCCCATCCCTAAACATATGGAAATTAGACCCAAAACCATTTTCCTTTTTTTATGACAATTCAATGTACTACAAGCAAAGCAAACCTGTTTTCTAGCCAAGCTTTTTATAAATGAGCCTACAATAACCATATTTGAATAGTTTTCTTACACGTGCATTAAGTTCTGTATAATTCTCTCTAAAATCAATTCCCAACTTCTAGAATACCAAGTTCATCCACATTCAGATCAAAAAAGATCCAAACAAAATTATCCAAACCCAACATATTGAGTAATGAGAAAACACTAAGAGCTTCCACTGATTTGAGAAAAGATTTGTAGAGTTTTGAAACTGAGACCACAATTACATACATATCTTTTTAATTTCCAAAATTATAATTTTCCTATCTTTGGCTCTTTTCCAAACACATAACTGGTCTAATTAAAGACAAAAGCCAGTATTTAAGTATTCCAAATAAATTATATGAAAATAAAATACTTCAGTTCTCTGGCATCTTTTCCAGCCCCAGCTCTGCACTGGACAGGAAAATTCAGCTCCTCAATCAGTTACTAAGTCTGGAGAAAGGAGAAGCCTGCTCCACTACTGTCTTTGCTGTTACTCATCCAGAGCCCAAGAGAAGACAGGAGTCAGCAAAGATGTAGATGAGTTCCTCACCTCACTGATCTCAGCCTGAGCACAGGCACTAAAATCAGAACAGAGAATTTCATGCCCTGCATTTGCAATCTACATCTCAAGGAGATCAGCAGAAATACCTGTGGCTTCTCACAGATTAAACCACCCAAACAAACCCATTCCCTACATTTTCTGTGTAATTGAGATCACAAATAATTGAGCTTTCCAGCCAGAGCCACTCCTTTGTCTGCCAGCTCCTGAAAGGTGCTGAGCATTGCCAGGAAAATGGGCTGAGTGCCCAATTGCACCCAAGCGACTTTGCTACAGTCCAGTACAGTCTAGGGGCCTCCAGCGGCATTTACCACCGGTGAATGCCTTTGACATTGCCATCATAGCATAAAGGGCCACAGTGTAAAGCCCAATGTGGGTTGAGGGCACTCAACACCTTGAGAGATTTAGCCTGATATTTGTAATCATTTCAATTCTTCAGGTTTTAAGTTACTTGGAGCCAAGAGTGCTGTACACAAAACAGCCCAGTATTCCCTAAAGAATATCAGCTATGTTGTGATTTGGATGAGTTCCATGGCATCTTAACTGCTACTTTGATCCTGCAAATTCCTAATCCAGTATCTAAGCACCTTTCTCCAACAATTGTAACTATTCAACCCTTTTAAAAAAATGTCTTTTTAAAAAATTTGCTCTGATTCTGTATAAGCAATATGGTTCTCTTGTAAAAACAGCATTAGATGGGCTGTTCAAAATAAGACACCATGCCCTCTGGCCTTCCAAGCTGCACTTAAAGTGACACTGCTGTCATTAAAATCCTTACGTATTTGCACACAATAAAAGATAAAAATAGTAATGGAAATTGGCTGCTAACCTCAGATAAGAGAAGTGGTGACGTGCTAGTATCTGAACTGCGCGTCTCACATGGCAGACCACGTAAACCTGCATTTTCTATTACTATACACACAGACTACGCAGAGCC